GGAACCTCTAAAGAAATGAGACAGTTTTGGAAACACACTGAGTCTCTTTTTGAACACGATCAAGTCTCCATTACAGTTAAACAAGCATCCAAGGACTTAGGGTGTATGCTTCAGTACTCCAAAAAAGTGGTTCTTGGATGTATCAAAGATAGGATGCAGGCAGCCGGACGTAGATTAGGTCGCTTGGCCAAACAACAAATACCGCTTCGTGAAAAAGCCAGCAAGATTCAGACTGCTATCTGGCCTTTGGCCTTTTGTGGGGCGGAAAGCCAGTTGGTCGGTGACATCCACTTTTCCAAACTTCGACGACAGGCATCCGATGTCTTAGTGGGCCCTCACAAATACGCTTCCTCATTTCTCGCACTGCATGTGTTAAGTGATAAAGTTGAAGACCCTCTGTTATACGTCATTGCAACAGCCTTGTGTAGTTTCCGGCGTTTGTTTCATTATCACCCTCATCTCGCGGCTGAAATGTGGGAGCGGATCTGCTCTGATCCATCCTGTTATGGACCCTGCGGGGCCTTGGCTCGCTACCTGCTAAATGTCGAGTGGCTCCCTAAACCAGAAGGAATTGTCCAAATGCCTAGTGGTCATGAAGTCTGGTTACGAGTTCAATCCACTAAAGAAATTCGTCATGTCCTCAAACAAGCCTGGTCATTCTTCGTCTTTCAACAAGTCCAACATCGCAAAGGAGCGACTCTCCAACCTTTTGATTTCTACACCCAACATAAAGCCGTTCAAAAACTGTCTGATGCTTCCCTCCGTTTGGTGGCCTTAAATCTTACAGGGGGCTTTCAGACGGGGGCAACCAAGGCCCTTTGGGATGCTACGGCCTCTGTGTCGTGCCCTTTTTGTGGTGAAATAGACACTCATGAGCACAGACTTTTGCAATGCAAGGAATTTCAGCATGTTCGTGACGGCCATCCATCTGCCATCCAAGTTCTGTCTAGTTACCCGAATCTGCTATGGTTACCATTAGCTACCAGCCATCAGCAGCAGATTGTTTATAATCGTCTTAAATTGGGTCGCCTGGGTCCCTTTCTCGACCGACCCTTTCTGACGCCGCAGGAGCATTGTGTTTTTTATACTGATGGTACCTGTGATAAGCCTCGTGAACAAAACTGTTTCAGAGCTGCGTGGGCTATTGTCCAACACGTTCACCACTCACCTTCAGATCCTTCACCTGAAGACTTTGTGGTCACACAAACCTCGCACACAAAAGGATTCCAATCCATCAACCGGGCTGAACTTGAGGCAGTGACCTGGTTGGCTCAACACTTTCATCACCATCAGCCTCATCGGTTTATGTCCGTGTTCTCGGATTCCAGCTTTGTTGTCAAGATCGTTGAGGCAATTGCTGAACATAAGTTCTCATGCAAAACCCATCAATTAGCGCATGCCGACTTGATCTATACCCTAGTACAGTGCTGGGACCCTTTGTATCATCACATCCATAAAGTGAAGTCCCATCGGATTAAGGAAGAGGCTGCAAATATAGATGACCTCTATACAATTATAGGAAATGACTTAGCGGATGAGGTCGCTAAGGAAGTTAATAAGCGTGATCTTCCCGCACTGTTGGATGCTACTAGGGCTATCTCGGAACACTCCAGACAGCAGATTGATTCGCTGTTCTCAGTATATTTGTACTTGGCTGAGCTAAATTCTTTGCATTCCCGATTGAAGCTGCATAAAGAACATCCTGCTGTTACTCAGCATACAAATGCCTCCGTGGATGAATATGCTAATTTTCAGATGATTTTGAGTACTTGGTCAGTTGAGGAAACCCCGTGGTATTTCGATTCAGATTTGCCGGAAGTGGTCGCCCAGGCTTGCCCCGCTGGGGCACATATTGCCTTTAATGTGTGGCACCTGTTTCGTAAATTTAAATGGCGTGATCCCTCTCTTCCACGGCAAAACTCCGATTTTGGCATAACCTGGTTTGAATTGGCGATCTGTTACGCAACCAACTATGGATCGTTCCTGCCATTGTGGATTTATAATGGTGCGAAAAAACGTGCTTATCCCGTCGCATTTGATTCTTCCGATGCCAAAGTCCAGAAACCCGAGGCCCGTAGTATTTGGCATCAAGCAAACAATCTCAGAGCCGTTGTCCGCTATTTGGAAAATACTCTTCAATGTCAAATGTTCCCACGGCATAAGAAAACAGGTGCGTCGTCCCTGGTTCGTCTCGGTTATCACCCGCGCCTGGCGGGAGGAATTTCCTCACGCCCGGAAGTTCCACATGCTGATTTGCTCATGGAAAACTTGGTGCACTATTCATCTATTGCGAATCAACCCTATCCTCTCAATGTACGTCTTGAAATGCCCTTGATATCTCAGGGACCTCCGCCTGTTGCGTCCCCATTTTCGTCCATTTTATTCGATGAAGGGCAAAAATTATACCAGAAAGTAAAGAAATGCCTTCGAAACAAGCAAAGCTTCGACACATTGTCATTCGCCTCTTGAAATGTTGAATGCTTGAATTGATAATTCACCTTGTGAACTAACCGCGTTTTACTCCGGTTGTTCCGTGGGTGGTACGCATGTTTTGTCTTATACTGTTTCTGGGTACATACAAACCCTTAGGTACCCCACATGTGTGGAAGGACCTTAAGGGGCGAGGACGGACCGCTCGCAAGTTGGTTTGGAGCATTTTATTTTTTTGTTCGCAGTGAGAGTTGTTTTTTCTATAGCTGCTGCTTAGAAAGGAGCCGAGAAGCTAAGGTTATCCATATTCCCCATTAAACAGGGAACCGAGGAGAGTTCCCCAAGCACTTGCTAGTTGTTTTTTTCAGAATTTGAGGTGCTGATTGGTTCCCCACTTTGCGGTTCGTTTGGCCCCCCCCTCCTCCTCCCGCCGCCTCCCGCCTCCGACTCACACCAACTCAACTCGCGCCAGCCCAACTCATACCGCGCGACTCACACCAACTTAACCCACACCAACCCACATCACTCAACTCACACCAACTCAACTTACGGCTGCTTGTTGCTGACTCGTACAAGCAGGAAGTCTGATGTTGCTGTGGTCCGGAGACTGTCGCCACCGCTCCGCTCCTTTCGACCGGCTTGGCCCGGGAAATGAGCAGACCTATTGGCATGTTTGTGGTGTTCCAAGTCAAGTTCAAATACTACAGGTCCTGTGACAAACCTCCCGCTAATGTCCCAGGATCATGTGGAGGTGGAACGGCCATGGGCCTTGGAAGAGATGCGGCATCAGAATCCACTGGAGCAGAAGCTGTTCCGGCAGGACCACAGATTTACAAGGCTTGTTTTCACACAAGAAGCAGCAGCCCTGGCTAGCTCGGCGACGGGAGTGTAAAGCTCTAGTTGCCTACTGTCCGCAAGGTGCATCTCAAGGTGAAGTCTCTCAGTGGCGACAAGACAGCGGTCCTCCAAGTGCCGTCGGGAGAGACCGCCAAGGACCTGGCGGAGAGGGCATCCGCCGAGCTCGGCCTCGAGCGGCGGGAGCCCTCCTCCTTGAGCACGGAAGAGCTGGCAACCTTCCTATTGAATCACCTGGAGGGCAAGCCTCCGGAGGTGTGGCCGACGGTGCCGACTGCTCCACGAGACCACGACCCTCCCCAACGAGCAGGCCGACTTGCAGCACCTCGACGACGAGGCGACGGTCTTGATGCAGCCGGGCATGCAGATGGACCCGCATCTGATCGAGGCTCGCAGCTCGTTCCAACGCTCCAAAAGCCGTAGCAATCAGGCACCCTGTTGATTCCAATATTTTCCTCACCTATCAGGCGAGAGTTGTTATATAGGGAATCCCACACTCCTTCTCTTTCTCCTCGCCCCACAACAGCAAAGGCAAGGTCACAGTGGGCACTTCCGAACTCAACAGCAAGCGCCAGATCGCAGCGCACTCCCGCAGCAAATGCCAGATCGCAGTGGGCGCTCCCGGACCACAACAGCAAGCGCCAGATCGCTGTGGGCACTCCCGGACCTCAACAGCAGCGCCAGATCGCACTAGACGTTGCCGGACCTCAACAGCAAGTGCCAGATCGCAGTGGCCTCAACACCAACCACCAAATCCCAGTGCGCACTCTTTGACCCCAACAGCAAGTGCCAGATCGCAGTGGGCACGGCCGGACCTCCTGAGCAAGCCCTTTTGAGGTGGGTAGGTTTGCCTGTAACTACATGCAGTGCTGTGTGTATAGTTGAACGGGACATGCGATGTGTTGCCGTTCATGTGCAAGTGCAGCTCTTCAGGATTGCTGGTGTTGGGCTGCTTCGATGGAAAAATGTTGGAGCTTGTGGCCGCAAAGCTCTTGTTTGTTGTTCGCTGCGTTGTGACCAGTGACATGACCTGATGACATCGATCGTCCAAGAGAGCTTGAGTCGACCAGTCAGACCGCCGCGATCGGCCGAGCCTACCGTATGACACGTTGTAGTTGTGTTTCGTATAAATTAGTTGGCATAGAAAAGTATGTTAAACTGTTGTTGTATATTAGGTGGTTATCTGTGTTTAAGTATCAAATAAGTAGTTTCTAGCCTCTTCTAGCCATTTCACCCATTTTGTGAAATATACAAATATATACACACTTTTTGAAAAAAAATCAATTTAATGGATTCACAACTGAAGGTATACGTATCAAAATTTAAACAAGACATAGAGTACGTGACATCCAACCGAGCCTTGCAAACAGTTCTGGTTTGAACTTGGAAAACCAGTGGAACTGACGATCAGTATGTGTTTCTCCCACGGGAGGAGCAGACCTGATGGTTTAACGAGGCACAGTGAGAGAACACGCATTGAAGGTTGAACATCCAAAAAAGTGGTGAGATCCTTGAGGCTCGTCAGACCTCAGCAACAACATATCCCACAGATTTGAGTGGTTGGGGATGAGGCATTTATAGATCTTGCAAAAAATATGTTATGCAAAACATGGAACAAAAACGGTTTGTTCGAGTCCGGAGGGCCCATGACGTTTCGCGCTGACCCGAGCTGGCCCAGCTGGCTCCCTCTCAACCGTCCGTTTTGGTCGGTGCAGGCCTTTCCCTCTCGACACATGGCCTCCGAGATCTCTCAGATCTCACAGGCGTCGAGCACGCCGCATGGCAGCGAGGGGAAAGCGGCCGACGGAAGCGGAGAACAGGAGATAACTTTGAAAGCGGCTGGTGGAGACGGCCTGCTCAAGACTCCAGGATTCCCATGCTGTTTCTCACTGGGAGCAAGGGGTCGTGGGACGCACTATTCACTCGGAAGACTACAGCTACAATAACCTAAGGCTAGTCTCAAGGCTCCAAGACCTCCTGAAAGGTGCTTGGGGTGGGTTTGGGGGATCTAACCACCTTTTGAGGATATAGTTGGAGTCCTGAGGATAAAACATAACACTGTGATTCACTGGAAATGGTTCAGCCCACTGTTTGCGGGAACAGCCTTTTGTAGAGAATCATGTGCGCTGTTTGGTTTTTCTGGATCATTAGATACCTAAAGGAAATGGAAGATTGAAAGTGATTGTTCTTGGGTTTAGGGTTTAGGGTCGTTTTCGGGTCATGATTGATGAGCATCCTGGATTTTCCAGGAGTTCCAGGTCGGGGTGCCTCTTGGAGAGTACGGGGGCTACCACCCCAGAGTCAGCTCTTTAAAAAGTGAGAGTGTATTCAGAATCGACCGACATTTTGGGCGATCTAGGTGATCGAAGGGAGGCTCCAAAGAAGCTACCAGACATGGTTTTCAATCATGGAGATACACGGAGTTTCTTTACATCAAAAGTGATTGAGAAACATGATCGCTTATTTAAAAAAAGCACAAATCAAAAAAGCAACTAAAAGTTTTGACATCTCGGGGTGACTACTATCCGCAGATCTGCACCAATATGCACTGAAAAACTGGACGTGTTCTTCACCTTTCGCTTGGCCCACCCGGCGGCTCAAGCGCCAGGTGGCGCCCTTCGGTGTGCCGGTGGGGACCGGCAGATGGGGCCGAACTTGGGAATGGTGGTTAGATCCAGTGTGGGAGCCACAAGAGGCTACTTGTGGCTGTGGCAAATGGTTGCGCCGTGTGTGAGCATGAGTGATTTCGCGTGATTTGGTGCAAGGGGACCTGGCAGGTGCCCATGATAGATGATGGCTTCCAGTTCCAGTTCCTCAAAATACACTTCGAACAGCACTTCTAAGTACGACCCGTATTTGATCATAGTGAAGTGGAGACCTGTGTACGATACGTGTGATACGTGTTGTTTGAGCAACTGGAACATTTGTCAAACGGTTCTCACGATTCACAGATTTGGGGTGCTTGAGGCGTGTCATTCAGTTTCATGTTTGGACTTGGAGCACCTCAGCTTGGAACCCGGAATGACTATTTATTTGTTTCTTCGGTGCTTGAGATTGCTTCTTCGGTGTTCCAAGTGTGTTTGAGGTTCTTTGTTCGACTTGGAACCCGGAGATCTTTAGTGATTGGGATGCAGCCCTCGGAAATGGTCCCACCTATGTGGGCTCTTGGCAGACCTTCCGAAAGGAGCGTCCCGAGGGACCCTTGTCTTGGGGGCGACTCGTGTGGCGAAAACTGCAGAAGTAGCGTCGAGCCAGTCCGATCCAGGGATCCCCAAGATGTGTCTTCTTTCCTTCTATCTTCGTGGACCTGACTTCAAGTACTCTGAAAATGGAACATAACCCTGTAAAAACATGCGTTTGATCGTTTGTACCTATATTCCGAGGTACTTGAAGACTCCAGGACCAAATGTCCTCTCAGGAGGGGTCCTGACACGAAAGAAGCACTGGTGAGCACGGGCATGAAATCAGCACCTGGAAAAAGCAGAGCACAATCTCCGCCCTCATTCCATCCCCAGACACGACCTGTTTGGGACTGGCATATGAATCCATACATTGCGGTAGTTGAAGTCGGGGTCTGTCTGGCGGCGGCATATAAACCAGAGGTTGAAGGACCCGAACTAGACTATCCCAGTTGGGTACCCCAGTAGGGTCCTATTTACGGTCACTTAACCCCCAGAAGGTATGACTGGACCTTCCAAACCCACCCAAGTCCCACCTTAAGACACGAAGGTACGACTGGAGGCCCAAACGGGGATCACCAGTCCCTCGACTCGTCGCATCGGATCGTCGCGTCGCGCCGCGAGTCGCATCGGAGGCGAGTCCAGCGAGCGGGTCGCGAGTGCCACAGGCCGCGCCGCGAAGTGGCTGAGGGGATGAGGTCTGAGAGAACCAGAGGCAGACACCGATGATAGAAACAACACATTCTGGAAAAAGACATATGACTCATGACGCATTATTTTAGATTGTTTGTTGTTTTCCACTTGTTTTCCCCCCAGGTGAACCTGATAGGCATTTGTTGGATGTTGCACATAAGACGAGCGAGAAGGGCTCTTCGTGGAGGCTGGGAAATGAACCAATTGAACAGGCATTTAAGACCAGAAGACCTCAAAGACGGGCTCTTTTTCATCTTTTTCACCCTCTCACGTACGTGGTTGTCCAGACAGAACCCCAGTCAAAACTGAGCCTTCTCCAGAAGCTCTGTTATCGAACTCACAGGCTCAAACCACCGCTAGACATTCCGCGACCCCTCCGGAGGGGCGACCGGGGGTCCACGTGGCTCGCCTTGGGGCGAACCGGACGGACACGTCACCTGAGCGTCGCGTCCTGAGCCCGGTGGGCCAAGCGACCAAACTGCAGGTGGTGCTACGACCAAACGGCACGTGCTCCTCCCAAAACATGGAACTGGATGAGAGACGCCAAGTGCAGTGGGCGAACCATGTCAGCCATGTTGTTTGAAAACGTCCTAATGTGGCAAATGTGAGTGAAAGCCAAGAGTGTGTGTTTGTGTGTCATGTGTTTGTTTGTTTTGTTTTGGTTTGGTTTGTTTTGTTTTATTTGTGTTTGGAGCACGAGGGACTTTAGAACATGACAGAACCCCAAACTGACTGGCTTCTTCACTGTGGAAATGCTCCGTGTAGCATTCATTGGAACAACTCAATGATTTCTTCACCAACTTGGTGAGGCAGTAGAAAACGCACCAATCCCATGATGTGTTTTCTTCCACTCAATGCGGCATTCCCATGGTTTTCTCACGTCTTCTCATCGCTTGGAGGCCTTTGCCTCTCAACCGCAGATGGCCTCCGACATCTCGCAGATCTCACAGGCACCCCTGTTGAACCGAGCGGGTTTGGGATTTGTTGCAGTCAGTGGGTGAAATTGCAATAGGATTGACAGGAGAGCCATAGTGCATTTATGTGTATTTCAATTGTGTTTAATTCATGGTCAATAGTCAATAGGTTTTTGAGTTGTTTTTATGCATTTTCAGTGCAGGCCTCACACTCATTCATGGTTATACACTTTCTCGAGCCTCTGGGGGCAACTTGCATCACCAGTGTGAAGATGGAAACGACTGTAGCACTGTAACACTTGTGGATTCCGGAAACTGGAGCACGAAACTAGGCTTGTGGATGAAAACGACACTGTGTGAAAACGACACTGAGTCGTGTCAGTTCCATGGGACATGAAGATATGGGACACAACAATGTGACAGCAGTGCCATGGCTCGCAGTATCTGGCAGTTTTCTTGTTCGTCTTGTTGCTGTTTGCTTTTATGTTTTTTGTTTGCTTCCTTATTGCCCTTCGTCCTATTTTGGGGTCCATATCCGTCTAGTTGTCTAGTTTTGTTCAAAACAATGTAGTTTGCTGTAGTTTGAGGGGATGCTCATGAGAAGCACCATGTACTTCTCATTGTAGCGAAACTCTCATTTTACACTCTCCCCAGTCACATTGAGGCCTCAATCACCCAAATTCCACCCACGCCAAACATCAGAAACCCCGCCTCCCCAGGTGTTTCAGACGCCTGACCGTGGTTTAAACACGCCAAACCCGCCGTCTCCGGACCGTGGACCGAGTAGTTTGCAACAGTAGGGAGTCATCAACCTTCACCTATATTGACCGCTGGGCTTACCATCCGAGTTTGGAGAGTTTTTTTTGACTTCAGCAGCCTGTCACCTGTACAACCTGCTAGGGTGCAAAACTTTGCCACAAGATGGGAGATTGGTGCACGATCTTGCGAGTGGAAATAGACAGAGTTCATACTGACCCTGAAGTTTTACCGGTCAAAGACGGTCAGCCATACATTTGAATCCCAACAAAACAAGCACATGATATACACCCTGATGCTTGTGTGTGTGTTTTACTCAAGACTTGCAAATGCAAACGATACTCTTCATCAGCATGTGTTGAATACCTTAACTCGTTTCAGTTTCTGGATTAATATGAGCGGGATACATGGAATGCCCGGAATATAGTTATTTAGAAAAACGTTTTATTGTTTTCCAACAGAACATGTTTGTTTTTAAACCAAGCTTGAATTTTGCTCTTTAGCTGACCCGCACAAGACCTGGCACTGCCAGGTGAGGCCCTTCGGCACAGCGGGCTGCGGCGCCTGCAGTGCCACGCCCGGTGCATCTCCTGCTGGGACACCCAGGCATTCAGTGCCCATCTCTTCTCTGGACCAAAGCAAGAAGGAGACCTTTTCAGAGCGTTTAGCAAGACGGCAGGCGTGCAAGTCCTGTCACTTGAATATGGTCAACCACCTTGAAACTGAAGAAGCACCGATGACGGAACCAGATTTCAACAAAGAGGCGATGAAGAACTTGTGCCATTTGTGCGTGAGCGCCAAGAAACAATATGTTTCTGTATGGAAACACCAATGGATCAAGCATGAAGGGTGTAGCCAAGCAAGTCAAGTGCTGTTCCCAAACCCAGACACTCTATGGTATTTGCCTACATGGTGCCCTTTTTTTGGCCAAAGTAACGTTGTAGGTAGTGTTGTATATACATTCCATCCTTGGAGTGTTTGGTATGTGTTTGGGAAAGAAAGAACATTACCCCTGAAAGTTCAAGACCATTGAAAATAATGTTGTGGACCTGGGTTTGTAATGTATATAAAGTCTTTGGTAAAGGAATGGCGGTTCAGTAAAAGCCTTTAACTTGATGGTGGTTAGAAGCCTAGGGTTACTGTATATCTCTCTCATTCTGTCTCTATGTCCCCGCTGCGTCATCGCTGCGTCATCATGTGACGGCGATCTTTCTGTTTTCGTCGCCACGGAGGGATCAACCGCCACTGAGAGGGCAAGCTGCCCTTGGTGTGGGTTCAGCCAGGTTCAGCCAGGTTCAGCCCCAGTGTCAAGGGTTACATGTTCGACCTATTCCACACACATCGGGTTGTGAGATCATATCACTTTGTCCTCCTTTGTTCATCATGTCATGATCTTAGAAAAAAAGAATCTCTCCAGTTGGGCGTCCGAAGCTCCTAACAATGGCTGTTCTGAACTTAAGAGCTCGGTTCCTGGCCGCGTCAGTGACCAGGAACTGGACGGCGCAAGAATGCGAAGTCGACCGATGGGGGGGGGACCAGGACCCAGCCCACCTCCCGAGGCGGAACGCCTGGCGTCGGAGCTGTCGCAGATTTCACAGGCGACGAAACGACGCAACGACCAACCGCCCGGTGCGACCGGTGGAGAAAGCACGAGGCGACCGCCCAAGGCGTTTGAACCGCCGATTCCGTCGGTGTCGAAACGTACGGAAGATCTCGGAAGAACATGGGTATATCTATGTGTGTAGTCCAGTAAACCAGTAACAGTCGGTTTTCAGGATGATCACTACTTTTGAACAAGGCCTGCAACTGAACCATCATCATCCACTGAAACCTGGTTATAGATGGTTATATATAGGATATACCTAACCGATACCTGTTTCGGTGATTCATGGGTGCAAGTTTCCTCTTACTGTCATTGTCCCTTTTTCTAGAGTGCTTGGTTCGATCCACCTGAGAGTTCGATGAGAAATCACCTATGCCTATGGTTTGAAGGGTAGCACTCTTCATGGAAGACAGACTCAACTATCAACCAACCAATCTGTGAATCATTCCATCAAGCAAGCAATCTGGAAGAGACATGAAAATTAGTTCTAGTAACCCACACCCTAAGAAATGTTGGGACGTTTCATAGGGGTCCAGCCCTCATATATATATATATATATTATATAGGAATCATTCTGAATATTGTGACCCAGACACTCTGCGGGGCTACACTGATCAGTTGGGGTGTCATGTGTCGTCCCATGGAGTCTGGGTCGTCCCATCGTCGGCCACCGGAGCTCAGAGTCCATGCGGGACTCCATGCGGGGACGGTGACGTGCGGGGATGGGCGCCCGCGGGACCGGTGTAGACGTTTTGTGAGGAGAAAACTGGGGAAGAACGAACCTCAACCAGCACCCGCTTGAACGTGAACCCTAAAGCCTAAACCCTAAACCTAAAGCGTTTTGAACCAGTGCTGAAGGGGACAAAACGTTCATAACGGGTCCATCTCACAAAACGTCTATGTAGACGTTTTGAACCTAAACCAGCATGTCGACCGATTGCGTAGCATGTCGACCGGTAGAGTCAGAATGGTGGTAACATATGTTCGAACGATTGGCCGCCAGGTGTGTGAATCGGGTTCAAAGTCATTTTTTGAGGGTTCGGTTGGGGAGGTCCCTACAAGGATGCCTTTTTGGTGCACACTCGATTGGCTGGCATGGTCACTGCGGCTTACTTGGATGCTGAGTGAAGTTTGAAGCGTATGAATCTTATGCTTCGTGGGGCCATCCCAATTGTCCTCATTTTCCACAGCTGTTAGATTAGAGTGTTAAGAATTAATGAGTACACACAGTAGTCCCTGTTTTTCTTCTTTTTTGTACGGGAGGTTTTGACTTGAAGATCTTGAAGGCAGTACGCCATTCTGAAGAACGGTGATACTGATCAGGGAAGCGGAGGACATGTTGTCCGGAAAGCAACCTCCTCTTTCCCTCCCTCCCTCCAGAAGAGCATAATATCAAATGTCTATCCCACCAATAAGCTTGGCTGAAGATGTCGACTCTTGACCAATAACTGGCCTTAGAAGAGGGCATGCTTGTGAACGTTGTATCATATCTAATTAAGAAGTGTCAAACATTTAACAGCTCAATCTCGGACGTTGCCAAGATTCATGACCTTGCATGGGCATTGATTGCCTCGAATGCCTTCCTACCATGGCTTTTCACAGGCCACAAAACCCTATGCCACACAAGTACCACTGAACGGGGTCCCAGTTCAGGTCTCTCAACCACTCTTGTTTGCTTTTGTTTCCACTCAGAGATCCATGCGGGACCTGAAGAGGTCACCCCCTTCGGTGCTTTGCCGCCTACGGCCTGGGGCCCCAATGGTTGCGGCTTTTCCGGAGCGCGATGATCTCAAAGCGGCAGCACGCGCGGCACGCGCAAAAGAATTGTGTCAGAGCCCTGGGTACTCAGCTGGACAATACCAAGGGCATTGCCACGAACACTTTCAGAGGGCTTTGCCAGAAGCAGCGACCCAATTTGATGATGGATGGCGATGCCGAAGCCACTTGGGAGGGCTGAGTCTGCTGGCAGTTGAGAATCTTGTCGCTAAATCTACTTGTGACAGCTGCAGCGATTGAGGAGCGACAGGCACAAGTGACCATTGGATTCGATGCGCGGGTGGCAAGCTGACGTACAGCCTGTCAGTGTGTGATGGCCTGAAAAGTGAGCTGACGAACCTGAGAAGTCGCTTCAGACTGCTAGAGTTCAGGCACACTGAAGTTCCACACGATATTTATGGGATCTGAGATATCAAAAATATTCAAAAATACATGAGGTTTCAGCCCTGACGTCTATAGCAGGTTTGGAGAGTGTAAACAGCATCATTTCCTACACTAGAAGTCTCGAAGTACACTGGATGCATGCTACTGCTTGTTCATCAAAAATATCTGTTGCTCTGCACTATAAGGCAAAATGCTCTTGCTGCAATTCGCCTTGGCAGTGCTTTGTGCAGACTTCGTGGCAGGCGCAGGCAGCATGGTGGACCTTGACGCGTAGATTTCGTGGAAGGTGCGGCACTTTGTGGCCTAGAAGTGCAGATTTCGTTGCAGGCGCGGCGGACCTTGGAAACTGTAAGCTACATTTTCCAAGGTGCCCCCTTCATTAGGGGTAGGGATGTGCCATCCACTTCTATGATTGGAGGGATGGTAACTAATTGCGGGTAACTACCATCGCTTCCAAGAAATGGTCGAGACTTTCTGGGGTAGCAACTGCTGCATGTGCCAAGCTTCAATCCAATAATATTGAGCCTTTTTGTGAGCTTTTTTTTGGCCGATTCGGAGGTCAACGCATGGGTGCAAGCTGGTTGGTGATCCATGTTTGCTTGAGGATCATGGCCTCAACCTGGCAGTGAAGACTTCACCTCATGCCTGATCACAGTTGGTCGGACCATGAAACGAAACAACAGAATCCGCTTCACCCTTTTCCACCGTCCTCCACCGTTGCACCGCCCCCCAACCCCCAAGGCTGGACTCAGCAGCGGAGGGCTTTTCGAAGCCCCGGCCGGGTCGGAGAAGTCGATCCGTTCGTACGGAAAATGGGTATACCTATATAGCCTATAGCCTATAGCACTTCCAATATTGGATACCTATTTACGTAGGGTAGGGTAGTCCACTGGACACCCAATTTCGGATGTTCCATGGTAGTAGAAAGACCGGCCAGGTCCCAGGTTCGACAGTACGAACGTTTATCTCGGGTCAAGGCGTTTTTTCATGAGGAGACTTCAAGTTTGGTGAATTGGAGACGTCTCAATCGGGTGCGGAAGACCGAACCAGAGTCGGGTGCCTTACTGTACTTGGAGCACTACCAGGACGGTTCCCTCAAAAGCTAGGGATTTGACCACGCCCCTTCAGAGGAGGAAGGGTCCAAGGTCGAGCCGGATTGGGCGAGGAACACACACCACCCACAGAATGGATGGATTGGTTGGGAAAATCTACAGGAAACTTACAGTATTGGTTTTCACCCCAAAACTACGGTTTTCTGTAACATGTTCCCTTAAACCAATTCAGGGACAGAATGAAGAGCCAATGCTGGCGTCACGGCGGCACTGGGTTTCTGAGGTTTCTCCAGAAACTTGAACCACAGGACGTACCAAGGACGCTCTGCTCGGTGCCATCGCCTACTAGTAACAAGGACGCTACGAACGTGGCAAGGCAGCACCTTCCACCAGGAAGAGTGGGTATCTGCAAAACCTTTTGATTGGGAGTGGTGACACCCCACGAAACAAGTACGAACAGGTGGGAGTTTGTTTGCTGAAGCATGAATTTCCAAGGGAAACTGAAGGAGTCAGTCTGTAGTTATTTTTCTCGAAAGTCATGTCATTGGAGTTGCCTTGTGGAGGCCAGATTCTCACCAGGTTTTTCACGAATTGTTGATGCTTTCGGCCTGCAACTGAAGCATCATCGTCCACTGAAACCTGGTAATAGAATAGACCCAACTTACGTCTCCTTAAGCATCACCAGGAGCCGACAGGTCACCCATTGAGATGTTTGGTTTGTTGGAGTTGGAGGGTCCTGTTCGATGTTTGATGTTTTCGAACCATTCCTTTTCAAAGCAGACAAAGGGAAACGTTTGAACCATTTCGATGTTTTGCCTGGTTCTTCTGTTGAAATCCCAGTGTCAGGTCACAAAAGGGACTGCACTCCCAGTTTTACGTCATGAAAAGCTCTCATTAAATTAAAAGACCTACAGCATAACATATTAATATTGGAGGATTTTGTCATGAGATTATAACCTTGCTTTTTCCCTTCGTCTTCGTATTCAAGGAAATGATGGTCTCGTTTGTTCCGTCCAGATGAGCTGTGTAAGGACGTGATTGCCAATCACCACCTATAGGCTCACTTGTCCTTCTCAGCAACTGCCAGTTGACGTCATGCCCTTCTTTTCTCTTCGCAGGCCACCACATCCCTACCACCCACTGTGCCGCCCTCGCCGGCGCGAAAGCCTGGCGTGGGCACGGTGGACAAGGACCCAGCTTGACTATCCAAAGTCCGGCTTGACTGGAGGAGCTCCAAGCTCCTAGGGCTCCAGTCATACCTTCTGAGTAGGTATGACTGGAGCCGTAGGGTGGGAATAATCCATGGGACCATCCGACCATCTGGGTGAATGGACTACCCAGCTATCGATCTATCGATCTCCAGCCAGGACACGGTCTGGGATGGTCCAGATATACCTTGACCCGACTGACCGTTCGTAGAAAAAATGGGACACGGCCGGAACAACAAAACAGGTAGATTTGTACAAGCATCGCTACTAGTAGCAGGAAGCTACTAGGTTGGAGGCCATTGCTACTAGGGTGGAGGCCATCTCTACCAGGGTGGAGGCCATCTCTACCAGGTTGGAGGCCATTGCTACTAGGGTGGAGGCCATCGCTACTCGTAGCAAGGACGCTGTATACCCATTTTCTGAGGTACCGACTCACGGGGCCGGCTCCGTCGATGCAGATCTGGGCACCTGGCACACGAGATGGTCCAACACCACGGGTCATCTGGGTCATCTGGGCTTGCGTTCAACGCCTGGACCAAAATGGGGTCTCGGTGATTGGTGATGGCGTAGAGTACGTGATTGGAGTAGGTGACCTTTGATTTCCTTTGGTGGCTGAGTCTTCTCAAATCTGGGCGACGTCGACTGCCTGGACTGAGGGTCATTGGACCCTCCATTCGATCGGGAAAACCACGGGTGACACAGTGCAACGGGTCCTGGTATGGATCAAAAAAGGGATTTCATGACTGGCTGGGCTAGGAGGATCATGGTTGGAACCACAGGGAAAAACAAATCACCAAACATCACCAAACATGTTACATGATGGGGTTTGTACCGCTGACTGTGCGCCCATCCAGCTAAGCCAGGCTAAGCCCATGGTTGTGGGTGTTGTGAAAGAAAGATCGTACGAGGGCTCATATTGACCACAGGAACCTTGTGATGCTCAGTCAGGTGATGATGTTCTTGTCCGGAACTGGGATGCACTGGGTATACCCTGGGAGTCAAAGACTATAAAAAGAATGGTCTGACTAGGGGACCTGATTTCGGGAACTTCCTTTACTTCAGCCGGTCAAAATATAGTCGAACTGGACTTCTAGGGTATATATATTGAAATTCCGCCTCTGAAAGACTGGGAATGGGTATATATAACTGGGATGCACTGGGTATATTTCACTCCTCTTAGCTGGGGAATATGCCGGACTCGCCCCTCCGTTCGGTCCAGGGGTGGGTGGTCTGACCACCGTGCGTCGACCGGATCCGGGAGTACCTATCGGTTCGGTGGACCCCAAAGCGACCGGCCCGAAGCAAACCATCCCAAACACCGGGGTTTTCCGCAACAAAAACCAGGGTGTTGGTATTGTGAAACCTTGGCTTTTTTCCCAGACACTCCATGTCTGTCATATATGTCTACATTGACTCCTCAAACCACCCCAATGTAGGCATATATGGCATACATAGAGTGTCTGGGTTTTGAATGGTTTTGGTTCGGGCCCAGGGGCCCAAAGCTACCATAATACTGTCTCCAACCATCTGAGACGACTGGCGCAGTGACCGGGGTGGCGAGGTCCGAAGCAAAGACCGGGGGACCGGGATCCGACCCGGGTGGCAGACAGGGGTGGCAGTACCAAGACACCAAACACTCCATCTATGGAATTCTATGCCATTGAGCCCCGAGTTCGACCACCCCAATGGATTCATATTGCCAGTCCCAAAGAGGTCGATTGACTCTGAAACCACCACTGCAAATCGTCATCCCCAACCGGCGCTGTGGGAACGGTTCCATCTGCGTTGCATCGCCAGATCGGTTCGATGATGTCCCAGTGGCCCACCGAGCAAGTCTTGCCCATGTGGGGGGCACCCAAAACCGGTGGAAGAAGGAAACAGACCGGCGGGACGAAGGAGTTTTCGGTGTGTATTTTGTGATTTGCCCAGGTGGCACAGGGCAGTGTGCCTCTCAAATGTGGATGGCCATGAAAGCCTGCGGTTCATGGGGATTTGATTTTGAGGGGGGGTCGGAATCTCATGTCATCTCATGTCCCTCGAAGTGTTCAGTTTTCATGTCCAAACCGAGAGTGGTCCATCCTGGTTCCCCCTCAAACTCCCTTTATAAATTCGAAGACTGACACAACACCAATTGGTTAACATGCAGCGCGGTTTCTCCGGTTGAAGTTTGAGGTGTCTTCTTCCAGGGGTGGTTTGCTAAAAAAAGCATCTATCCAGGACGCTCCGAGAAGTGTCCTGCTCCATCAAAGTCTCTATACCCTGGCATTCCAACAGCCATCTTTTAAAGTGGTCTTGACCAAACTACTAAGGATTTTATACTACAAAACCAGGTGCACCTTTATTCTCACGGTCTTGAAAGCCTAGGGTATATTACAATACCCAAACACTCCATGTAGCCACAACTGCCGATCGGATGGCAGGCGAATGTAAAAGACAGTGTAAAAGACCAAAGAACATGAAGAAAGTTCATCGTTCACCCGCCAATG